GTGTCCGGCATTGGTTCCACCTCTCGTGTGCAAGTAGAGCTGATAAAATTGAGTAGAAAAGTCCTCTACCATTTTGTAATTTTCGCAATAATTATCGAATTATTAATTCTTAAATCGTCTTAGCTCGGCCCACCGGCAAATACAAGCGCGTGATAAAATACTCTCACTCGGCGATCATCGTTGATAGGCGCGTGAAGAATTGTTTACTTCAAACGGCAATAGTTATACTTAATATATTGAAGAAAACAATTTCTCGCAGATTCCTAGCAATTGGATTGGATCAATAGCGCCTCTCGTGACAGAAATTGCAACCGTACAAAGGCAACGATGACGATGTTTTTTAAAGTAAAAATTTCCAAATGGACTTTGCGCAGCAATATCTCCGCTCATAGGACACGTAGCAGAAAAATAAAAATATTTTTATTATGCAAATCGAATTCAAGCTATCGATCGAGCCTATTTAGAATTTGATCAATTTATAGCTGTTATTGAGTTCTGATAGTTTCAAGTGCTCGTATCTCGTGCTCAACTCGCATAAAGTCACACGATAGTGTTCAATTAACTTGACACCCGAGACACTACCGTGTCTCCTGATTATTGATATCGCATTATGTACTCGTCGAAACCAACAACTTTTGTCTGGCACTTTCTATTGTTAAAAGCAAGCAAGTTATTCAGATGACTTGTTTTAGATGCCTCACCCTGTATATGATTCTTATAAGTTTCTCAATGTTTCAAAAGATCATTCAATTAATGTCTTTTCAATCTTTTTAAAATAAAAATTTCTCTTAACAAAAAAGTTCTGTTAATTAAAATTATTATATGTAACAAGGCTTATATAAACAAGGCTATTTAAATAAAAAATTAGTTTTGCAAATTGCTATAAAAGCGATAAAATATAAAAAAGATTAGAATATTGTAGAAAATAAAATGTATTCTATTATCGAGATAAAAATAAATATCTTCTAAATGAATAATAAATGACTGAAAGGATAAAATGCTATTTTGTTGTAAAAATTGTCTCGCAATTTAAAATTGTATATTTTCTATTGTGACCAAAAGATTCTGAGACATAAAATATTGTTTTTACAGATTACAATAAATGTCTTAAAAAATCGACATACGGCACGTTCATTCTTTACGTGTTTCTTTGCCTTTTTGACCCAACAATTAAGTGGCGCTAATATTATGATCTTTTATGCATTGACACTGTTTAATGTTGGCGGATCGGGCGACTTAACCGGAAGCGAACAAACCGTCGTCGTTGGTGGCGTGCAAATACTATTTTGTTTTTTAGCGATGAGTCTAATAGATATAGTTGGACGTCAAAAATTGTTAATTGCATCCTCAATGCTTATGGGATTGTTTCTGATATTGTTAGGTAAGTCATTTGCTATGATAATGTATTATTGTATTATTTGCTATGATTGTAATACTTATCAGATAATTGTAGTACTTAGCAGATAATACATATATTCTCTTAAAATATAAAATACAATATTAGGATATATAATCATTTTAAACAAATGCCAAAATCAGAATTTGAATTAAAAGTTTGTTCTTTATACCTTATAGTTTATTATTCTATATATACATTTTATTTTAAAAACGGACACATGCAATATATATGATTGAAAAACATAAAGCATTATTTAATTTTGTTATATCTATAGATTGACAATAATAATGCAAGAGTGATATATACTTATTTGTATATAATATATTTGTTTTTAAATATTAAACGATTCCAATTGAGGATGTTTTATTTCAGTTTCAGCTGGTTTTTAAAAAAATAAAGAAAGAATTAAAGAACAGATTAGAGAGAGTATTAGTCGGTAGATTAGATCTTAAAGTCTAATAATCTGTTATTATTGAATTTATAAATTCGAAAAATAATTGCTTTATATCGCAAATCACGCGCTATTACTTAAAAAGCGCGACAGCTCAAAGTTAAAATTAAATTTATTCCTCTTTAATAAATCGATGATCCAATTTATGAGAATTAATTACACCCTCAAAATCTCCCCTTCTGAAATTTCTTATTGCGAAAAATATCACTCCTGTCAGGAATCTTTAAACCTCACCGAGGATCATTTGTTCATCAAAGAGGTGTTTTATCTTCGATCATAGTAGCATGTAGTGATATGTAAAAAAAA